TGTGAAGCATTTTTAGTCAGAGGGGTGAAAAATTGTACAAAAGACTGTTTGGTCTGTGACTATATTAGTGATAAACGAAAAGAAAATTGCATAAATGTGACTGCTGGGTTTTGTGATTTACCACTCGTCTTTTCAAAAGCTTTTGCTCCGTCAATGCCATGCACGAGATCAATTCCAATAACAAATGGAAGTGATTTAGGAAGCAATCCAGCCTCCTGACATAAGTCTCCAAGACCATTTTCAGCTCCCAAGGTTATCCTGTCTGGCCTCCAGCCGCACCCTAGAAGTGTCCAAAAGTCCTGTAGCTCTTCAGTCTCACCTGACAGTCCCAAGTGTTACCTCAGATACTAAAATGGCATTAGAAAGCTACATTTAGCCATCTGAATCACTTTCTTACTAACTGGGTGATGGAATCAATGAAATGGGCAAAGCACATTATACTAACTTTACCTAACAAGTGAACTGATTAAACTGGTAAATACTTCATAAAAGCCTTCCAATTAATATTGTTTTCAGACTTACTTACAGCAATGTTACTTTTAAAAGCATATTAAAATGGCAGTAATTTCCATTGGCTGATGAAATAGTTTCTGGTATCTGTTATAATTGTTGCAGATATGATTCTCTGTTTCTGTTTAACAGTGTTTTGAATACTCTGTATATAATGTTCTTAAAGATAAGAACATTAGTAGAACTGTTGAAGTGCCTATGCTTAATCTGTCATGTTTACAGAAGCTAGACCTAATATTTTAGTCCAGGTTAAGTAACAGGTTCATTTCACTGTTGTTGTGGGTTGGGTCCTACTGCACTAGTTGTTTTCCAAATAAATGATAAAAAAAAGGTCTTTGTGCAAGAACACCTTCATTCAATCACTTAAAGAGCCACATTCAGGAATGCAGAAAATATGTATATTATTAAGACACGTGCCTATTTGTGATAGACTCCTTTCAGCCAACATCTGTGATTTACAGCTCACCGGAGGAATAAGGCTCTCAACCCAAGAGCAACAATTACTGGGCAGGCACTTCAAAAAACAAATCATCCTCAAAGCAGCCCACACCTTGGCAGTCTTGTGTTCAATTAAGATTTAAGAATTTTTCACTGCTGGAAATAAAATATAGACTAAAACATACTGGAAAGCACTATGGTAGAACCTCATTCAGAACAGAATGCTGTTTTCATTGAGTAGAATAAGCAGTTTTCCTTAAGAACATGACTTCCCATGGGAAACATGGAATCTGCAAAGTAGCAAGTCTGAGTGGAAAGGGGAGACTCAGTCTGCCTTTCCGTACAGCTCCACTCATGTCGTGCAGCCATCTGGGCCTGTGGTTCTAATCAAGATGTGACTCTTCTACTCTCATTTCAAACAAAATTGCCAAGCCAGACCATCTGAAGCAGAAAACGATTTCACCCGCCTATAGTATCGTATTCTTCTTTTCCTAGAGGTTTTATCAGTTCTCGCCATTCGATTGTGATCATCTTGGCACCAGGGCAGGCAGCGTGAGTTGTAGGATAAAATTGACTTTCTGCAGCTTTGCCAGCTTGCTAGATCAGCAAATATACGTGGTTGATTTGTCGACATTACAACATCTCCAGTTTCTTCTTCTCTGAAATTTCTATCGGGTCATTTTTTAAAGTAGCAAAAAAATCAACTTCCCACTCTTCTAACAACAAAGAAAATGTAAAAAAGAAGTGCTCATACAATGAGACTGAATTAACGTTCCCTTTAACCTCCTCCTGTTGTCTTCTACCACTATTTGCAGTCTTTCAGTCTGTTAGATTTTCAGTCTAAGCAATGTTTCATATATTCACAGCGAGTTTATGTTAATTTTCAAGATTAATTTCCCAAGTATCTGACACATAATTAATTCTAGATATATTGTTCCTTTAAGCCTCTCATTTTTATTTATTGTTTGACAATAATATAATCAAATCTATATAGGAAACTTTCTCTTTCATATACCTCTGTTTCTAATTGACTGTGATTCAGTTATACTACGGAAGTTCTGAGAATATTTTCACCATCTTAGTTATATATTTCTCCTAAGGAACAAAACCGAAAAAAAATGACTGCTCTTGTACATCTGAGCACGTGTGAGGTTAATTCACTAGTTGCAAAAGGTGAACGTTAAAGATAACCAAAATGGTACGATGGTCATTTTGCTACGTAATGCCATTTTGTAATGCAGAATTCCACTTGCACAAATATAGCTTCCAGATATCAAAATTTAAGATATTTAACAAAACTATGTCTTGAACTTCATTCATGTTGCTTTAATTTTTTTGGCTTCCCTTCCCTAAAGAGGAAAAGATTTTTTTTAAAAATCTTTTCTCACAGCCAAAGTTCTGAAAACTTGCAGATGTGCATTTCTCTCACATAAAGGACTTGTAAGGCAGTTGGACTTTAAAAGTTTCAAACTGTTTTTATTAGTGTAAAACATTGCCATAGTCCCCTGAAGGGTATCTCTCCAAACGGTCAGGCATTTTCAGACACCACCGTAATATGATTAATACCAAGACCTATCCGCAGCTCTGAGGAAGTTGCTCTCGTACAGCTTCCCACAGAGGAAGCTCCCCTCGTCCTGCCGAGCCTCCAGCCCAGCCCACCTTCCCCTTCGTCTCTCCGGTGGAATCAGGGCAGAGGAGGTGGGTCTGCAGCGGGCAGGAGGGCTAACGGCCCGCAGCCCTCCCCTCCCAGCGTGGCACTCTTGCTAGTGAGCTGTGACCACCAGCACCTAGGGAACGTGGTGGTAAACCGGCTCTTAAGGATTGCTCAACTGTTCAATTGACCTGCAGGATTACTTTAAACAACTTTTTGCCTCTTTCCTTCCCATCCACTCCTTTTGCCCTGTCCAGCTAGACAACAATCTGTGTAGGAGACGAGCTGTCTCTCATGCGTATTTACCACAAGGCTCTGTGACAGAGTAGACCTTCTTTCTCCATAGGAATCTTTAAAATTTACTACAATGTAAGTAATAATCATATGATCATTTGTCAAACTGATAATGCCGTATTCACCTTACAGTATCAATTTCTCTGTGACTGAAACTTGCTATAGTAATTGTTAACACTTTCTACACCCTTGATGTACATGCTTGGTATAAAGTATAAAATCCAGTATTTAAGTTAGTGATTGCAAATGTGCCAGTCCAGGTTCTCTTCTGAACATATTCTCTGTGTTGTGCACACTAAATACGCTGCATTTCACAACAGATACTTGTGGAAACAGAATGTCAGCACAGTCTCTTATGGTTAAGGGCTGCACTGGTCCCTTTTAGTCTCATCTTATAGCTAAAGGAGAAATTTTGACCTGGAAAATCTGAAGTGAGGTAGCAACTCAGTGGCTGAGGCTTTAATTTTTCTCTACAGTAATTGATGTGCGGACTTTGGCGCAAGTAGTACATATGTCAGATTGTTTTCCTTCATGCATGCATTTTGGCAAAGTCTTCCCTGTAGAGGAAATTAATAAATTTCAGGATGACATTTCCTTCTTCATCCAAAAGAACAAGAAAAAAAAAAAAGCAGCTGGGTTATTTTCAGTCTTCAATTTTTACAGTTTTTAAAAAACTTGCTCTGAATAAAGGAAAGGTACTTTGTCACAGAAATAAAAGGCAATTTTTGTGCAATAATTTGTGTGACCGATATGCATGCAAGATCAGTTGAATGCACATTACATGTGTGCACATGCATTGACACACTACAGGCATATAGAATCATCATCAATGTATCTATATGTCAAGAAAGTTACAAGTTTAAAAAACATTAAGAAGATAAATTATAGGGGAGGTGCAGGCAGCTAGAGTTCTGAAGGGCAAAATAAAAACACTGCAAAAGATATCAATGCTTATACTTCAATGTGCAGGCAGACTATCAACAATTAGAGCTAGGAAAAAAATATAAGCCACTATTACTTTGTTACTTCTATTTCACTTTCATTTTGATTGTTTGCTTTCTTCTATACGATAATGTATGAATACAGTTTTATTAAAAGAAGGAAAAGTTGCTTTCATTTCAGAGACTACCTCCTGATGCCGTATGAATGACCAGCAATGCACAGTTCATGGATTACACACTACTACGACAGAGACTGTATTTAATTATTTCCACCATAGTGTTTCTGGTGATTTTACACTAAAGGATCTGACACTGACGTCAGTCAGAAATGGGGTACTTGTCTTGGTCAATTATTGATCTTACCCTGTAGCTAATTCTTGCACAAAAACAGAATCCAAGATTTCTTTTCCAGGTTGGAAACTGTCTCTATGTGAAACACAAGTCTACTCTGTCTAGTTCATCCCCAGTGTTTCTAGAGATACTGTGACAAAAGACATTCTGTAGACCAGAATTTTTAAGTTCTTTAGCTATTACTCCTCTTTTCATAGGGCATAAATGATTTAGATAGTTAAACCCATTGCTTTCAAGCAGAAGGTCACAGGCAGTCCTATTTACTACCAAAACAACCTTTTTTTTTTCTTTTTTTTTGTTAGTCTGTTTCTTGGATTTCTAGATTATAGTAGAGAAGCTAATGCAGATGTATTAGTTGCAGTTTCTATGTTAATTCTTTTCAGTGGTGCTTTGACATTATGATTTCACACACACTAAAGCAAAGTTTCTAAAACCAAAACCAAGACACTCGGGAGTCTCTTTCATTCTTTACTGAGGATTAGGAATCTCTTGTTTATCAGACCAATCTTTCCAAACAAATGGAATTGTTTACTATTTCTAGTCCGATACTAATATCTGCAGTGTTTTCCTCGGTTCTCTTAATATCTTAGTAGCTCTTCAGTTCATTTAAACAGGGACTTCCCACCTCTCAGTCCTTTAAGATAAGAGATAATCTTTGTCTCTAGGCATAGGGGTCCTTTGGGACACTACTGTTTATTCCTGTTAAATTATCAGTGAAAGACAGAAAATTATTGTTGCAAAGAAGAGGAAAGTATTCTGACTTTCAAAGATGTCAGCAGAATTTTCCTCTTCAGTTAGAAGACTTGATAAAGCCGATGCCGTATAGGCAGGTGAGTTCTGTTTCATTTAATGTGGTCTACCTCCTGCTCCAAACTTACCAGAAAGAAATTTCAGCCCAGTTTTATAGTAGTATTACATTTAATCTACGCCATGACACAGCCTTAATGCTGGAAGGACTGAGACGCAAAATGCTGAATCTTAGTGTTAAATTAGCTAGTACAGGGTTCTCAAACTATGCTCTTGTGACTGGTGACTCAGAAGTCTTCTCAGGGAGTCTAAAGAATGAAAATTTTTTTTCCAATTTAAACAGCAGTGAGCAAGGAGTTATTAAGGATGGTGTGCCAGGGAAGGATCTTCTGTGGTCATCTTGTCACTCACAAAGGAAACTGTATACCAGCACTACATTTCTAAATGTATATAATATATGGTAGCACTCTCTAGTTTAATAAACACTCTGTTACCTCTAAAATGGTGCTAAACTACTGCAGTGCTAGCAAGAGATGTGCTAGGTCTAGAAATGGTCAGGATCATTTGGCTACTCACAGTCAGTGAGCTCCCGCCTTCGATTTCACAGCCGCCATGTACTGGATGTGTTGATAGCACACCATGATGCTAGGCAGCATTTTTCCTTCCGATTGTGTCTGGCTCTGCTTTTCTTCTCCTTGTGTGCCCCTTCCTAAGTAGAAATGCTGTTACGAAGCATTTCAAATAGCTGTGTGAACAACGCAAAGAAACATCTGAGGTGTTAACAAAACATTCGTATTCTATAGAATCTGTGTTTATAACATTTTACTATGTTATACTACACTGTAGATCACTTCATGGCCACGCATGAGGCACATGCTTTGTACTAAAACAAACATTTAATGGCTTTGAGTTGAAAACTGGCTTTTGTAAAGAAAAGGATTTGTAATGTGATTTAATTGATTTATGTAATTGAAAACCGAAACAAAACACCACTGTTATGTACTATAAATGACTCTTTTGTCTTCTATAAAATTTAATTTGTTTGCATGCCCTGCAGCCATACTGAGAGAACAGAATAAATGGCAACTCCTCTTTGGGCCTATTTGAAAAAAGACTCAGGAAAGGGAGCATGAGAGTGGCCAGAAGGAAGAGATGAGTGCTCAGATAAAAAGCAGCCCAGGGGAAGACTACAAGTTCTCAGAAAAACAGATCAATAATAATGTTAACAGTGAGGCTGCAAATGCAACTATTTGCATTTTGAAAACATTTTTCCCTACTACTTCACTATGCCCAGGGTATCTAGAACACTCTCTGCAACAGATGTATCACCTTTGAAAAGGCAGTATTTTAATGAAAAGTCATGACCCTCAGGATGCCGCTGCATTTTTCAGTATAGGACTACTAGAAACACCAGCTTACCTTCCCCTCCTATTGCTTGCTCAGTACGATGCAAGGACCCGAGACTGCTCTAATTTACAAGTAGCTCTCAAACAACTTTCCGCTGATTTTGTCTCCTCCCTTTTCCCTCCCTAGACCTTTCACCCTTTTGTTCCCTTGGGAAAACTGTGACGAATTTCCACCTGGAAATTTCAGTCTCAATGTTAGGTGGTCTCTTTTTGTTGTTGTTGATGGCCTTTCCTCTCCACCCTCTTTCTCTTCACTGCATTGAGACTTTTGACAAGGTCAAACAATTCATCTTTGTTTCTATATTTATACCTGGGAAGCTCCCTTCAGTAGCGTGATATCATTTCAGATAGGACAGCTTGACAAAAACAGTAGATAAGAAAGTTCTTGGTACAGAGACCTGGCCTGGTGAAATAAAACATGTTTTTAAAAAATGAAAACAGCTCGAGTGTTTGTACACAATAAACACCCACTAGCTACATGGGGATTTGTGACCACAGAATAAATAGTACTTAATGGCTCCACAAAATAAAAGCTATGCTAAACAACACTGTACATTATCTTGCCAGCTTATTGCAACAGACAGGCATAAAGTGGCTTTGTTGTATATTTTGCACTCAGGACTGCAGTGCAATAGTACGGGCTAGCACCAGAAGAAGACAAGAAGTGCAAATGCAATGAATGAGGGATGACCAAGTCAAAGAAAGTCAATAAACATTAACTGGAAGGAATAAACTCGAGGGCCAATGAAAGCACTCCTGTCTAGTTGAATGTATTGGTTTAATATATTAGAAGGTAAGTGAAAGACACAGAGAAGTGAAATCTGAATGCTGATAGTATGATAAAGTGATCAAGAGAATTGAAATAAGTTAGCAAGGAAGTCCTGAAAAAGAGGGAATTGCAGGAAACTAAAAATGGAAATGAAGATGATGGGTTGAAAAATAGCTATTAAGTATTTGAAAGCAAGTGCGAAAACAAGAAATGGAAACCTGTCTTTGAAAGAAAAAAGTATATTTACCAGCACGAGAAAGCTAGACAGAATGCCATAGCAATAGTTGTTACAGAAAGATGGAAAGTTAAATTAAAGCAAGCAATGGCTTCTTTTGGCTCAAGCTAGAATGCTGACTACTCTGTGCAAGAAGGAGTGTTTGCTTATGAAATGATATGATGAAATGCTTATGGTGTGACACTATCCCAAGGAGGACTGGTATCAACCTGAATTAAAGCTACACAAAGGCTCTGGAGGAGTGTGGAGTTTAAACCTCAGCTCTTTGCTACTCTTATTTACATTTACATTTGGTGTCTTATCTTACCTAGAAAGAATTAAATGACTTTAAGGTCAAGTAGTCTAGATGTGGTTTTTGTTCAAAAGTACCACAGATCATCTGGTAAAGCAACTGTACAATAAATACAATAAAAGTGCTTGCTATGGGGAATGTCAGCTTATTAGTCTTTCACCTCCAATTCGTTAATCTTCCTTTGCAAATATGTTTCCCAAATTTTGATTTTATACTGATTTCCATGGCACCCCACAATTTAGAAGTGTACATGGTGACTGGGTGAGCAGTCTGGGTATCCCAATTCCATGTGCATAGCTTCTTTTCATGAAAAACTTTGGGAGAAATTTTAAGAGTTGACTTTGAAAAACCTTGTAATTCATAGGCTATTTCAAAAGACCATTGGGAAGTGTGGCTAAACCAGTTCTGGATATGATTTATAGTCATCTGAGACTGCTTTAAGCTACTTCCATGGGAGCAGTTATCTCTGGGTTCCCTACTGCCTGGACTCCATAAGGCACGCAGTATTCCCAGCTGTATCCTTAACTATTGTCTACCACCCATAGCTCTCCTATACCCATGACCTACAATCCCAACACCTGTAATCCTTGTCAAGGGAGTTAATGCTAGGTGCTGGAGTCAGCTGTGCAAGGTTCGCCTCCTTCTTGGGGAACTCTCCGAGAGTCTTTTGCCAGACCAATAGTACAGGTTTCCTTTATCATATCCTTCTGTGGGGACAGTATGAATGGGCTGGAGCTGATCCTTGAGAATTTTCTGCTTTTCATTCCTCCAGGGGACATAAATATAGGGTTGTTTGGTTTTGGGGGATTTTTTACTATGAAAATGCCAACACTCCATCTAGTGATACACACAACCAGAGCTTCAAAGCTAACATTTTTTCACCTTGCTTTCCTGCTTTGCCTTTCTGGCACAAGGAGAAATCCTTGTTTTTAAAATGTTGTTAGTCTTCAAGAGTGACTTGTCTGAATCTGTTTTTCCTTATTATTTATCTGAATTCTCCCAGCAACTGACCTCCAAGTGTAGCACAGGTAGCAAAAGCTGTAATAATATTACCCCTAGTTGTTTCTTTGCATTTGCATTAGTAAAGTGGACCCTAATAAGCCAGTAACATAAGAATTTATTCAATGTCAGCAAACCCTCAGAAATATGTACAACAGACTGACCTCTGGATTAGAATCATGTTTTTCATCTGATTGCCAAGTTGACAGATTTCTTCTGTGCACTACCAAGGGTCATTAAAATCTCTTTCTCACTTGTCCTTTTATCCCTGACTGTGGAGATTCATTTGAAAATACCTTGGTGACTTATCCACAAAACTTCCTTATCTCACCATATATGAATCACTTTGAAAGGAGCCACATTTCTCTTAGCAACCAAAGAATCAGTCTTAGCAACAAGACAGCTGGAGAATTTTGTTTTCACATAGCTACTCGTGGACAGTACATTCTGCTTTCTGCTTCCCCATGGCGTTGCTGTTTCAGTGTTGATTTAGTAAAGAGTAAGAAATGGTACAAATTAGACACTTGCTCGTAGCAAAGACATCACTTGCAGGGCAAATGGCGATCTTTCTACCTTTGAAGCTATTTCCTTTAGGAGATAGTGCAAGAGTACTGACTGCTGGAAAGCTCAAAATTTCAATTTTCCCCATGACAGAATTACTACAGAGAAATGTGTGAGGAAGCTGACAGTTTCCAAAATCTTGACTTCCCCCACAGAAACCATAGTAGAAAATCAAAGCATTAGCTCTAAAGGTTCACATCCCAGCCTCTCTTGGCATCTGTTCATGCTGAAATCAGTTAGAAAGGCTGGATATAAAGTGGCTTTTATATATATATCTCCTATATTTTCTTAGCAATAATAATTTTGGGAGAAATATTAGAGTGGGAGAAACTAGGAACATCAGAGCAGTTGCCCTGGCCTGATGTATTTACAGGACTGTCAGGGAAGCTTCCTGAGGAAGTAGTGCTAAGATGGCATTTATGAACAGAGCAGTGCTGTAGTAGTTTCCATCTCTCAATCCCACATCTGTGTAAGTAAATGAGTTACCATATGTATTTTGATCCTATTAAGAAATTCAAAGTGCAGGTAGAAACAGTAAACGCTTTCACACCTCACCCATGTTCCTTCTCTGTCTCCTCCTGCAGGGGCTGCTGGCATTCTGCGTGCCGGTTTGATTCCCTTACTTGTATTCAAATTGAAGACTGAGTCAGTTGAAATCCAGGAGCTACTCCTTGATACACTCTCCAGCTGTCTGCATGTGGAGGCTTCTGAAGCTCTAGCAACTGGTGCCGTTACTATCCTGAAGGAAAAGCTCACACACTCATCAGTGGCCATCAGAAGCAAAGCAGCTTGGGTCCTGTTAGAAATTGGGTAAAGGAAAAGAAATCTGTCTATAATACTTCAGCCCAAGAAAATACTAATTTCATGAGTGAATCAGTGTCATTAGTTTACAGTTGTGTTCCACTACACATTGAAGCTGTCACATTTCACATGTAAAGCAGTATCAGCCTGAATGCACACATAAGTAGAAGATGTCTAAAAATCATAACTCAAGAAAGCAGATGATGATCAGAAAATGTCATTTCTTCTCCTTCTACTTGCCTTCAGTATTGGCAGGGAAATCAGGATTTTTTTCCTGGTACAGCACTGCTGAGGAAAAATTCTTGCATGAGAAATCATGTGAAAACAAGATTCTGACCACTATGGAGGTAGGGAGAAGCTCCCTTATTTTTTTGGACAACTACCCTCTCCAAAAAAATTAAAGATCCTGGGAAACTTTCAATGTGATTGAGGACAGAAATAGTTTTCTGACATAAGCTGCTACATACGTCAGTGATGGATCAGACAAAGCAATCTTTATATTAAATTTGTGTATCAAACACTGGATGAAAGGAACAACTTAAGTCCACTGTCCTGCAATCACAAAATATAATAAAAGTGCTCAACAGATGTCTAAGTTAAAAAGGTCTGCAGTTTACATACCAATTGGCACAAAACACTTCCTAAAGTCTTATAACAAAGTGAGGTTTTATAGCAAAAGAAAGAGAATATAGATAACATGAGTCAGAAACAAAGCAGAAACATAACTAGAGTATGGACATCAGCTACGTCCTAGGTCCCTGCAGTAGCTGGGCTGTGTTAAATATTCCTCACATTAGAGAGGCTGTGAAGAGAGAGAAAATTGACCTGGGAGAAGAATTAATTGCAGACCCCTAACTTAGCAGGTTTTTAAATCTGTATAGGATTCAACAGCCAGGTTTCTAACTAAATTGCCATTAGGACCACCAACACATTTAATCCTATATCCTGTTACATGCTGCTGCCCTATCTCCAGTGTATCACAGAAAGTAAAAAAAAAATCCAAACATCACCTAAAAATAGCCTAAAAAAATTGCTAAGCCCACACACACATAGGTTAATATGATATCATCAGCATTGTATCAGCAAGTAGATTTAACAGACACCAGGCACAAACAGACATGCCCTTTCTTTTCTTTATGGCTGGGTAGTGGTGCTTGCCATCTGTCTAACAGTCAGAACATTGTGACTCCAAAGAGAACAGAGAGGAGGACTGTGTCAGCACTGTTGTCATGAAACGAAGGAGGGCTGCAGGGGTCCAGGCATGGGGAGAAGCTGTGGGTAGCTGCATGGTTAGCAGGCACAGTTGAGGAAAGCAACTTAACCATCTTTTCTGCACAGCACTCATCCAGAGGGAAAAAGCGTGGTCTGTAAAGAAGTTATTCCTGTGCTGGTGAGCCTGTTGGAAGATGCAGATCCTGAAGTCCAAGCTAGTGCAGCAGGAGCACTGATGCTTGCTACTGTTAAACCTCAGGGTGAGAGACAAAGGCAGTTCTGTCGGGATACTGTCTGGAAATCCAATTCTAAGGCAACTTGGTAACAAAACTTTTGCTCCCCCCCTACCCTCCAAGTCCTCAATTTCTGATAGTGCTAAAGCTCTTCCAGAAACCACAAGATTAGGACATTTCTTTATATCTGTCTTGAGCAACTATTGTTGCTCCCCCAGAGTGTCTAGGGGGGACAGTATATTTCACCTTTCATTCACCTGAATTAGGTTGAGAAGCTATGTATCTACACCACATGTGTCGTTTCCCTCCAGAGTGCTGCTCCAGAGGGGGAACATTTTCCATACAAGTCCGGACCTCACTGAGCTCCACATACCTGAAGCTATTCTGAATCACCAGTCCTCAACAGAGAAGCATTACTTTCTGGAAACTCTTTTTGTGGTTAGAGGCATTTTCTCTCTCGCAGCTGGGAGAGGAATGAATATTAATCAGGACTGTAGTTCTCCCAAGTAACTTACGTGACACTGAAAATACTAACTGCTAAATTTTCAGTGTGATGAATGCGTAATTAGACATAAAAGACTCCTAATAACAGCAGTTGTGTTCCAGTCCTCCTCTGCAGCCATCCCCCTGGCTTCGGAAGACAACAAAAGAGTGGATCTCCCTGTTTGAAGTGTCTTTAAAAATAAAAGAATGGAGGATGTTCTTAAGGGCATCTAACCCCCTCCATCCCCCAAAATAGTTTATGTTATCCTTCGATGCCTCATATAGTCTTAGATAATTGTTGCTAATGAAACAATAATATGCAAGGCAGATAAAGTTAACTAAGAAAGAACTTTTTTCTTAAAAATAAACAGCTGGCAGCTAGCCTTGGTCTTCAAAAGAAAAGTATGTCCTACCTCTTTGCACTGCATCCTCTGGGGTGCTGAGAGCTGTAGCTGGGCAGGGAGTAGAAACTAGCAATTCAAAAGCATGTAATAATACATTTTAAAGCCAGTTTATCAGAGCTGTAGCTGGGCAGGGAGTAGAAATTAGCAATTCAAAAGCATGTCAATCGTATGTAATAATACATTTTAAAGCCAGTTTATTTCTCTACAGGGAGATTCTCAGCCTTAGGTGCTGCAGCTATTCCACCTTTACTGAAGTTGGTTGCTGAGGAAACCAGCAAAGCCCGTCTGAATGCAATCAAAACCCTCACCATGCTGGCTGAGCTACCAGAGGGCCGCAAGACGCTCCTAGATCACACAGACACATTTCAGCAGTGTCTGAATGATCCCTGTGAGGCAGTGAAAAAAGCTGCCAAAATTGCCATCAGTGTCATCAAATGGAAACCTTTCTGAAGACGGGATGTTTCATAGAGATCTATTGCCCTCTGTTGTTGTCCAGCTGTAAAAGTTGCATGATTATACGAGACCTTCAAAAAAAAAAACATCTCTTCCTGAGTTACTCTGCATCAGTTCTTCCTGACAAGTCATTTGGCAACAGTTTCACATCTATATTGCAAGTCGTGAGGAGAATAATGGGGAAAAAGAAAAGTTAGGAAGTCTAGAATTCTCCACTAGGCGTTATTTCCTGAATTATGAAGATCTTCCTGTGATAACAGAAACCAATCCTTTTTGTTTTCTTTATAATGTTCTCTCCTTTTTTTTTTTTTGAAACCTCAGCCTATCAAGCATTAATCAATAACTAATTACATTAGAAAGAAAGGTTCATAATTAACCTCTCCAGCAGTCTTGTCTATGCTGAGAAATTAACCTAACGACAGGAATGTACATGAGTCTTGCTGCAAAAGTTGTTGAACATGAGATAAGAACGATTTACAGCATCATTACAGAAAAAGCAATGGCAATGTCATAGAAGGGCTTCCCCGAGATAATTATGAGACTTTCCCAGCCTAAAAATATAACCAAATACTTATCAGCACAGTTCTAACAAATGGAGTTACTGACAAGACTTGCCGGCAATGAATCTGGTAGAGACGGATCTGGGCTAAGAGCACCTCAGCCTAACCCTGTCCCTGTGATGAGATTTATCCGTGCGACATCCCCAGCTAATGACTTCTCCAGGAGAGTTTTAGTAGCAGCCCTGGCTTTACTTTGCAGCCCCTTCTGAGCCCTGTTCTTGCTGTATGGTCAGCAGCTGCTTCCTCAGCCTTAGCTGCGGCGATTGCTTCTGTGTTTTTAAGCTGATGAGGATCTCAGCAGGCAGGTTTTCTCCTTCCATGTGCTTGGAGCCAGGTTCAGGGCTGCCATGTGCAGTTGTCTGTGCTTAGGGTAAAAGGAAAATAAACCAGAAAGACTTCACTAGGTTAAAGTCCTTAGTAAAGCTCTGTTGGGGACAGACCTCACTGCCTTTAACAGAAGAGGGGTCTGACCCCTATCTGAAATTGGTTATAGCACGGAACAAAAGTGCCTCTCTGTTTGTGCTAGCGTTTGATGTTTTGTGGTTTTGTACAGCTGTAATCTATCCTTTGAGTACAAAAAACAAGAAATATCATGGAAATGGAAGTGTTGTGCCAAAACTGAAGAGTTTTGCCGTTGTGGCTCACTTTTGGGAGAGAAGGAGGGGACAAGAGGAAAGCTAATTCTAATGTTACAGTCTAGTCCAAGAGGAGTTGGACAAGGCAATCTCCAGAGGTCCCTTCTAACCTCACTTATTCTGTGAATAACAGCTGTCTAAACAAAGCAATGAGGAGATAAACAGAACAGGGAACTGAAAATGTCAGCTCCCTATTTTGGAAAAATGTGTTACTTTTTTTTTTTCTTTAAAAAACTCAACAGTTTCTTTTAAAAAACCCTTTTATTTCATAGAATTGAGAAGACCATAGAAAGCTCAAGCTGTTTGTAGAAGCAAGCCTATCCAACAAGACCTAAATTGCCTGAAGGAAGTAAGGTAGTTCCAGTGTTTAGAACTGATGAGCGGTTGAAGCCGTGGGAAGTTCAGTAGCATTTTACTCACTGTCACAGCCACAGCAGGCCACTACAGATAAGTTGCAAATTTCTCTGTCTGCAGTTGCAAGTGTCATTTAAGAGGCACCAACAGAAGTCCTGGGCAAAGAAATAAAGCAAGTTAGCAGGTCAAATCGTGGCCATTCTTAGCGACCACGAAATGTGTGATAGTGCAGCTGACTCAGCTTCAGAGGAAGTCCTGTTCATTTTCACTCAGGTTTTGCTCTCACATGGCTTTTTTGTACCTAGAAGTTACCAAGTTGTAGCTACACAGAAGCTGCATCATCTGTATAAAGGAGTTATTTGTCAGGGCTGCTTTTCTGTTGCAGAAACCCACTGTCACACTGCAAACTGTATTACCCTTATACAAAGTGTAAACTTATTCTGTAGGAGTGATTAAAGTTAAAATGTTTCCCTTCCATAACCTAACCAAAGGGTGAATTTCCTCTCATATAAAGATGTGATTTAAAAGTATTGAGTCAGTTGAATTCATTCCCTCTGGGCAGAATCTTGGAGGAGCTCTGCCTTTTAAACATGCTTCACATACATAAGACACTCATAAGTAATGCATATCGATGCCAGAGTGCATCCAATTCAATAAAAGAGAGCCAGGCAGCTTAATAACATGCTAAATGTTCAGTAAAGGACTAGGGAACAACAGAGAATGGTAATCTCATCTACACTTACAAAACTGCTGCAGGAAAATGCCCAAACAATGATCATTTTAGCTCAGTTCCAAACTTCTGTCACAACCTTCCCTGATAATTCAGGTATCACACTTCAACAAGTTAGCAAAATAATGAGCTTGTTCAGAGGCAGAAATAAGACCATCCAGACTGAACTGCTCCGACTAGAAGAAATTTAGCTCTCTTGGACCTTAAGTACTGCATTCTGAGCATCTGCCTGATCATCGCTTTAAAGACAATATAAACTGCTTCCAAATAAGGCTCCATATGGTATAATGTTCTTGTCTTATATACATGCACAATACAAAAATGGAACAAAGCCTTAACTGAACTCTGAAATCTGGTTGTTAGTGGTACCCCTTCTACATGTCAGCTTTTGTCTCCAATTCTTTGGCACTATCACATCTGACAACATAAAATACGGTATTTCAGTCACAACAGTAATTCCATTTGGCTATATTGACAATGTACTGCCTATATAAACACCAAAATTCGAAGTCTGCATACAGAACAGCCATGAACCATTATCACTTTTTTTTTTTACTTATAAAACAATATTTACAGAAAAACACTATTACAGATATTACAGATGTTATAATTGAAATTCACATGCTCAGATGTGGTGCAGCTTGCTGCAATGTACTGGAAGGACTGCAGACACTAAGCGTTCGCAGGAGCACAGCACAATATCTCACAACGGTGGCAAAGCTGAACAGCCGCTGTGAAGCAAAGGATGCTACAGAGAACACGAGCTAATGCAGAATAATCCCATTTATTGCAGAACACTGTTTTGTAATCTGTGGTGTTTCTAGAGCTGTATTATCTTGGTGTCCAAATGTTTGGTGTCTCATACCAGGTTACGCCGCAGGAAGCCAGTGCAGAAAAGCATAGAGCACAGACACGGTGCAGCAAACCCTGTCACAGCGTGGGAGACAGGGAACAATGCACAGATCTACCTGATATAGCAGAGAAACATCACACTATCATCTCCTTTGTAATCCTGACTACACAGAACCTGAATTAAGAGGTAAGTTTGTATTCTACAAAGTAATTTTCCAGGGTATATGAAAATGTACCACACGATTGCTCCCATAGGAATATGATGATTCCTGAATCTCCTTCCTAAAATGAGTTTCTTAGCCACAGCTTGACATCTGAAATGTCCCTTCACATTCTTCATAAAGACCTTTGAGATCTCAAGTGTAATTTAAATTAGCCAAATAGGTAAAACTCCTAACTAAATGTCCCAGTGTGTGTGGGAGGGCTCCCCCGAAAAATGTAGACATGCTTTCTTTTTATGTTATTTGGCAGGAAATAACATACCCTGTTTTTTTAGAAGATATAGCAAAAAAGGAAGAAATATAATTTTATAGGGCTTGTACTACAGGCAACCCATATATTTAGTAACAAGGCACAAAACCAGTGTGTAGGTATCAAGACTATCCACCAATGTTAAGTTACTAAGATGTCCAATAAATTTGGGGATGTGTTTCAGTATATTTCTGAATCTCCCTGTTAAAGCGGTGACTATAAGATGGGAGATGAGATTACAGCTCTGAAACAGTAGTTGGGAAATCAAAGTAATCAAGAATAAGTCCTTGAAAAAGCTTTCACAAATAGAGAAATCAATGGTGAAACAAGGAAATATCCGAGTTGACCCAAAACATAGTTGGAAGAGAGACAAAATGAACAGGAACTACAGGGTAAGAAGAATTGAGTAGAAAATATACAGCATAAGCCTGGGTTTTTAGGTTTGAAATTCTCAGTACTCTTATGCATTTAAACTAACTTTGATTCTATAATTTAGCAAATAATCATTCAATGAATCTTCGTATTAAAAAATATATACTTATGATTAAGGATTTTCTTTTTCTTCTGAGGTATGCCAAGTCTTGAAACAAAGGAGAACAAGATGCACTGAAGTTACAGTAACACTGATTTATAAATCCGGTTGGAGTTAACCCAAGATACCCTTTGGCCCTAGCAGTATTTTGACTTCTGTCAGTTATTACTTAACTGCCGAGTACAGTGTTGCCCTTAGGACAGTGCACAAAATGAAAAATGCATCCTGAAATTCTTCTCGTACTGACATTCTGATAAAACGAAAAGGTCAGCTGTCCTAGCAAGTCCAAGGGCAGGAACAGTTTGGGTCATGTTCCCCATGAACTTCACCGGCAAGATGGTGACACTGTAATGTTCCATGATGCTAAATGGGCAACCTGCAGTACCGACAGTTTTCTACGGGCGTTCTCGCCTTTCTCAAATCAGGACGTGTTTTCTGACCCAAGTGACAGATTTAGTCCTAGAGATGTGCTTGCTGACTTTGCAGTTGTCTTGGTATTGAGCATTCATTCAACATGCAGCTAAGGACCAAAGACCTCAAATATAACACATATGGGCAGTGCCGTGGCTGTCTATAGCTAGCTTCCCACTTTGGCATGAGAGACAACGGTCCCTAATTTGTGAGGCTGGGCAATTAATTAGCATTCTAGATGTCACTAAAACAATTAGCTGGATCAAAGAAACACAGCTGATGAATGCTTCCCCTTGGACTGACTTAGCTTCCAGTTGAGTATACTAGATAATAAAGCTGCCACAGACTTGGTTGCAAAAATGCTGAAGATCCCTTTGAATTGCTTCGTACACATTATAAATACTTAAACTAACATGTCAGGATCTAGCACTCTCAATACATTATAATTGAAC